TTTAATACAACGAACTCACTTTGTAGGATAATCTTTATGCGGTCATTAACGAAAAAGATTTTATTCAAAATTTTATATATAGAGATGATTATGATATTTTATATCTATCTGTGATTTTCACATATAATTTATGTCATTGCAATTCAAGTTCTCGAGAGCATTAGCTATAATGCAGTTGATTACGTCCTTTCGAGAAAATGGCCAAAAATCATATAAAGTAACCTTTTGCTGGAGGGTTATAAATTTGTATCTATAAAATTGGACGAGGGTTTGCTGAATGCAGTATAGCACATTACGATTATTATACAAAAAACCAGTATATTCAATACAATTAATTAGATGCAAGTATTTGTTCCATTCATTGTAAACAGGATCCGGTATAAAAGTTTATTATTTATGATTCCAAAGTTTTATTTTGAACCTAAAAATTTCACTTTTATTATTTTTCACTTATTGCATACATTTCCGATACTATTATTAGGCTTAACATATCAATTTATTTAACATCTGCTTAGTCGTTAAATCACTTTTAGAATCTTGAGAATGAAAATAATTTTATAGCATCGATTTAATAAAATTTGACCGTCTTTTTTGAGTTTGATGCTATTGACCAAAAATAGGACATATCTCTGGGTCTAGACATCTCGATTCCTAAATCAAAAATATGTAATAATGTCATCATTCAACACAAGATTTAGGTCGTAACCTTACACTTCAGATAATATCCCGGCTCTGTCCAATAACATGTAATCTTATTTGGATTAAGAGAATTAACATCTAAAATGATGATTTTATAGTTTATAAGTATTATATATATAACTACAGACCAACAAAGAAACTAAACTTACCACATTCAACGAATTCGCGTCGTTTTGAAAATAGGGAGACTTTTTGAGGTTTAATGATAGAACTCCTAGTGATAGCACGACGATAGACCAGTTCTTCAAGGACATCTTGAATTTCACAACGTGACATTACCAATGAGAGTTTGCGATGTATATTTGACTACATTATATAAACAAGTACATCAGCACATAAACTTCGATATCAAATCAATAATTTACGTAATAATTACCTCATATATTCCAGGCTTTTGAATAATAACTCCTAAAACCACCTCGAGGCATCCACGAAATACTGATTCAATAAAATTGCCATTAATATCATACCACATCCGGGGTACGGCAAATGATTCCGTTGAATTTTGCGTTTCTTGGCGTTTATTTTGCAATAATAATTCAGAAGGTGACGTTCCATCATCAAGATCCATGAATTCGTCAATGCACCTTTTATTGGAACGATAAATAGGAGTCCGATGTGTCTTGACTAACCAACATTTCTCATAAATGCTACAGACATAACGACTGTAATTGTACCCAACTTTCTTGATTAGACTTGGTTTATTCGATTCTAATAATGAAATATAACGAGGAAAATCTGTTTCGGAGATATCCACAGATTTCTAAAAAATAATATGAAACGTTAGTTTGCCGAACACCTGCTATTATTTAATTTAAACAAACATTACCATTAGAGATGTTAAAGTCGTGCCAATGTTCCCAAATCCCCGAACATAATAGTAAATTTTATTAAGACATTCTTTAGAGGTAATATCATGCACATTAAGAAGTTGTTGTAAGGCAATTAGTTCTTCAGCTTGCGTATTTATCGAAGATAAATTGTTTGTTCGAGATTTTATTAAACTATGGTGAAACTCGTCTTCCTCAGTTGTAACAATGTGATCTATTTCCTCATTGTGAATTGACTTTTGTATTGGAGTAATCAGCACATCAAAATGAAGTTTAGCAGGATCTATTATCAATTAAAAAAAATTTTTTAATAAGAGTCGTAGAAATTTCTGACGTATCCAGAAATACATAATCTGCATAATAAATATTGTGGTGTTGCAAAACAACTTACCAATCTTTCTACTTCGGTGATTTGGTATAATGCATGTGGTAAATAAATCTTGGCTTCGATCGGAAAAGGATAATGAAATCTTAGTATTCAAAAAATTTATTATTAAATATTATTATATTATTAAGTATTAGACTAAATAATAATATAAAAAAAAAAAAAAAATTATGCATAAAAGTTTATTAACCTTGCCCGCAGACAATTTATCCAATAAACAAGCCATATCTCCGCTATTCGAAAATTGGTCAAATACTGTTGCCATAGTTAGTTTTTTATGACAAGTTGTAGCATGCGAAAACATACGATCAGGTAAACTTCCTGATATAACTGAAATAAACCTAAATTAAATAATATAATTATATATTTAATTTTTTTTTTCCAACATATAATAGGATAAGTAATACTTTACTTGTCAGCAAATTGGTAGCCTCTACCAGGAACTCTTCGATCCGATCCACCTTTCACTTTAACAATAGCTCCCGTATCTTTCAATTTTTCAATCGCATCTTTCACCATTGCATCAGGATAAAAATTAAGAATTGAAAATGCGTGTGAAGGATCATATTTATCATCCGGAGTCATAAGAATCATCTGCAAGAAATTTATTGAATAAAATAATAATGATTCCAAGTTTCAAAAAAAAAAAAATTTTTTACCTTTACCAATGCTTGGATGCATTGGACATTAATGTCATTTTCACTTATATCCAATTTTTCATAATAATCTACACTTTCGTTGTAAAAAATCCGACATGTTACAGGATGAGAATAGAGCAGTGAAAATTTCTGCCGCAGAGAAGCACCAACAAGTCTATCTTCATAAAATCGATTTTGATAACGCATTGTTGATACGTAATTTTCGACAAAAACACGTTCATATGTTCTAATGTCACACGGAAGAGGAATTATCGGGTCTGGACTCTCTTTACTAAATGTACATATGTACATATATATGTAAATTCACTCGGACATATGTATGTCATAATGCGTGTATATATTATAAACACTATTTTATATACGTTGTAATAAACTTGCCTTGGATGATGCTGCAAGACCTTCATGAAATAGTCTAAATGCCCAGGTAAGTCAAAATTTAGCATATCTGACTCATCTTCATCGACAATATGTCCACTTTTTAATCCAGCTTCATACATTCTTGGCCATTGGCTCAATAATACATTTACTCGTTCTAATGTTGCCGTATTTTTGATCAAAACATTTAACCTTCGACGACAATTTTCGTTCGTTTTATGCGGCAACACTTTAGTTATTGCACCCCATAAGAATCTCGATTTCTGTGAACGAACTTTGAGAATTACATATACATGAAGAACCAACTCATCCTCATGTTGACTCCATTTTGGACGTGAGCGCTGTGAAAATGTTTCATATTGTGTCTCAAATCGTTCTTTTTATAATCATGTAAAAATTTAGAAGAAAGGTCAGATCGTTTTTAATATTAACGATAATCGAACATTTACCTTCATCAGCAATAATCGGTAAATTTTCTTCTTCGGCAATAGATCCTGTGTCTATTAATCCTTTTTGTTTAAACTTTTCACGCAAACTTTTGCGTCCAGCATGGTTTCCGGATACTGCTTGGGCAGAATTTCCCGTTTTTCTTACTACTTTATGAACCATCGTTTCTCTTTTCCTTCGTTTAAACGAAGGCTCTCCTTCAGCGGAAGTAACAATACCAGAAAGATTTTTTGACTTTGATGCAACCCTACGTCGTCTTTCCTTTTGCCTAGCCGCTTTAGCATCATTCCTTTTCTTTTCAAAACTATTTTCAATGTGTTTAAAATAAACCCTCACTCTTGTAAATGGAAGGCTACATTCTTGTGCAATTTGTCTACACAAAGCTTCATCTTCGTAAGGAGTTTTTGATTTCCTAAGATCTACATAATGTTCTAACCTCTTTTTTTGTTTAGAAGTCAAAGGATAGCCTGCATTCCAATTACGTGACAAGGTAATAAATCTCAAAGGATCTAAAAAATCATCATCTTGTGCTGCTTTTTTTCGAGATTTAAAAGTTTCTTCATCACCACTAAGTTCATTATTACTTTTATTCCCTGTCTCGATCATTTTTTGCCGTGCGACATATTGCAATTCATTCCAATAAATTGTCACATCTTCAACTGAATCAAGCATATAATCTCTGATAATTGGTCTATCTGGACCCGAAACTGAGAAGTCAATCATTGGAACATGACGCATTAATTGATACGCTGATGCCAAAAGAGTTTGTGGAGGACTACATGGTGTTGGCGCACTCTGTGACCATCCAGCTAATTCATCTTCAAAATCATTTGATTCATTATTCTCAACCTCAAAAACAGGATCACCACGTTCATTAAAACCTCTTCTAATTGGTTTTAGAATTTTCAAAGCTACGAGGATATCGATTAACTTTTTTAGATTTTGTCTTAATTTATAATTTCCAGAAAAAAGTTCTGCACGTAATTCTGATGGAAGGTTAATAACGCTCACTGACAGGCTTTGTCCAGAACGAACATACTCGGTCAGTCGATGACTCGGAATTGATTGCCCAATGATTTTAAGATATAACTCAAGCGGAAGATCACGAAGAAGGATTGTTGTATGAAATGTTCTCGTACTTTTTTCAATATAAGAATCATCAGGAGATGCATCAATAATTTTAGTAATTAAATATTGATGCAATATTTTTGCTCGAATCATTTTAGCATTAATCCACCCATAACCACGCGCCGTATGAAGCCACCACATTTCATTAGAAGTCTGTACACGAGATTTAACTGAGGTTGAGTCAGGCGTTTCAAGTGTATCAGGTGAAGCTGATGTAGGATCAACAGTTGATGGCATATTAGACATGAGTGCTTCATAAGATTCAGGTTCATTATTATTGGATGTTGGTAAGCTAAGTAGATTAATTGATTCATCAGCTGCAGCTTCAACTGCAAGACGTTTTTGAAGTTGCTCTAGAGGTTCAATTTCTATATCTAATTCTTCAATCTTAGTTGGCTTATGGGACCTGCCAACAAGCATAGTTCTATCTTCCATTTTTGCAACATATTCTTTCACTATCGGGCTTGAAAATGTTAAACTTGAATGGAGAAAAAGGACTTTGGTGTTAAAGCTACCATTTAATAAGGGCAATTTCACACTATAGGTCCGAAGAAGTCCTTTTTCTTCCATTAATAAACCAGTACGTTGAAGAGTTTTCTTATCAATTACGTGACTAGACGTGCTATTTGGTTCCTTTTGCAATGTTTGTTGATATAATTTTATGAGTTCAGTACCGAGTTCCACAACTTGGTGTTCTTCTAAAATTTGCAATATTATATTCTGTCTTAGCGCCGCTGTAATTGAAGCAGAGTTTGCAAACTTCTTTCTAATTGCAGGTTCAGATTTACTATTTGATACAGATTTTTTCCGTTTCCTGGTACCATTTTTAGAAGCCCGTGATGTCCGATTTTCACAATTGGTGTTAGTTGATGAAATTTCTATACAATCAGATCCATTTAATAATAGGGGATTTTGAGCATCTGTCACCTCGACGTTAGAGGATGGCAGATCATTGGATTCAATACAATCGGATCCATTTAATGATATGGGATTTTGAGCATCTGTCATTTCAACGTTAGAGAATGGCAAATCATTGGATTCCATACAATCGGATCCATTTAATGATATGGGATTTTGAGCATCCGTCATTTCAATGTTAGAGGATGGCAGATCATTGGATTCCATACAATCGGATCCATTTAATGATATGGGATTTTGAGCATCTGTCATTTCAACGTTAGAGGATGGCAGATCATTGAATTCCATACAAGCATCTTCCAAATGTACGTCGTTAAGTTCATTTACATCCTCATCTTGAATGGTTCGCATTTTTTTTCGTGGTGGTCTTCTAGGTTTTTTGTCCTTACTTCCTTTCGGTCTCCCACTCTTGCCTTTTGGTACGGCAGGTTTTTCGCCATCAACAATTTTTCGTGGGCGTCCTCTTTTTCTTTTAATAGGTGGTTCTTGAGGTATAACTTTATTAACGTCAGCTTGAGTCATCCGCCACTTTTCCTTTTTCCTTTTACGTCGATCCCTGCACTCCTGAGATTGCAAAAAGTCCGTATCCTTTTCTTCTTCACCATCCTGAAGAAATTCCACACCCCATAACGGGTCATGAATATACATTGGGGATGATTGATTTTCTGGAAGTTGTTGCACACCCTCTTCTAATGCCATTCCATTAGAAGTAGCAAACTTTATGTAACCATCAAGGGAGAAATAACGATATCGTCTTTCGCGGCCTTGAAATTCAGAAGCGCGCTTCACAGTAAACCGATTTAAACCTGGTGGTGTTGGTTTGACTAATCGCTCAAGAATTTTTGTCAAAACACGATGATTCATATTTCCGAAAACACTTTTGATGGCCTAGTAAATTTAAGATACATTTTTATGTTATAATCCTTTTTAAACAAGATTTGAAATTTTCTTGTACAAACCCCAGCGGTAACCCCATATTCACCGGCACCTTGTATTAATTGATATATTTGATAATCCATGGGCAATTCGGCATAAATTCCAATTTTGTGATCCTCTGATACATTTTGACCTTTATCAGATGTACTTATTGCCAATTTATGATTACATTTTACTAAAATATAAAAGCAAGCATTTGAATTAATCAGGATAGTAAAAATCAATAATTAAAATAAATTCAAATATTTACCCATTTCAGATTCTTTTCCTTTTTCATAATGTGTAATAAGTCTCAAACATCGATCCATCTGTTTATTCGAGTCTTTTTTTGGTACATTTATTTTTTCGATATATCCTTGATGTGATAGAGTTCCAATAGTCCTATTAAACCAGCGGCGCTGTTTTTTTGTTGGTGTCGATACTCCAAACTACATAAGTACGATCAGTACGACAAATATAATAATCAAAAAGAAGAAATGTCCAGAATTGAGCGAATTTAACGAAAAAAATATCTTCAACCGTACCAATGCCACCATTAAATCATTAGCTAACATAATCTGATTCTTAGCTTTCCCTAATATTTCAGTAAACTTGATTTTAATCAGCTCAGAATTAAAAGATACGCCCCCACTGACTGTGTCCGTTGGATCATAAGTGTAATCGGAAGATTGAACCGATCGAGAACTATTAGATGAATTGTTTGTAGGAAGATACACAGATTTTCCTAAATATGCAAGATTTTGAGAGGCGCATTTCGTGAGAATGCACAAATTTGTATATATTCCTTTAGTAACAACCGGTAATTTTACTCTAAAAGTTATAAATATTAGAACGGGTTTGTAAATAAAACAAATAAAATTAACAAAAGCGAATAAATATAGATTACATTAGCTTTAAATTGATAAGCGTCTTTACATAATGATAGAATGATCTTGGATCTATCTGTAAATCTTTTGCCATATCTGCTTGAGTGGCACCAATAGCGCGATGTCGCGCGACGTATTGTAATATAGTATAAACTATCGGCGTTATCTGTCGCGTCGTCTAAAATAGTAAGATTCAAATAAATATTGGGGAATAAAATCAAGTTTATAGTAAATACGGTTATAGTCCATACATCGATATCGCCAAATATTATCCGCTTCTGATATTCAGGTATAGTTTTTATTCTGAATCCATCACCATAATTAATTTGCACATCTTGAAGAGTCATCTTTACAATTTTATGTTTATCTAACAAAATTTCACCCTATTTATATGAAGGATTCGGAATTATTATTAAGGTACATTAATGTGCCGAAGTAAAAATAAAATAGGATAAGAACTAACTTGTTTCATATTAAAGTTTTCGTTCATTGAATCCATTCCTGAATCTATGGTTGATTCATCATTTGCATTTGCATTTGAAAGGAAAAAAACCAATACTTTAGAGTCCACAAATTGTGACCAAAAATATGATTTGTATAAATCATCTAAGCAGGATATTGAACATTCAGATAGTTGTGTAGAGGAACCGGACTCAATAGAGTGAACTTTCCTATCTCTTAAGCGTTGATCGAAAAAATTCTGTATAAATTCCCATAATCTATCGAGATCACAACCTATATAATTAAATTCAAAAAAAAAAAATTATTATTTTCATTTTTAGATCTATGTGGTTTTGCGAAGCATTGTACCTATATCACCGTCTAAGGCAAGTTCCTCTAAGCAATGAACAATAATGTCATTAATCATAGCTTTAATCTTAAGGTTAACAGATCAAACTGACAAATTTAAATAACGGCGGTAAAATAAACATTAGATAAATCTGATCCTGATAGGGAGATCCGATCACGTGACCTTGTAACATTACGTTACGAATCTGTGCAAGGTTATGCATGTTGCCGATCATCATGTAAATTTCTTGGTTATATAGTAAAATCGCGCAAGAAAAACTTTTTGTTAGAGCACTAAAGGTGGTTTATTATGAAATCTGATTTGTAGATCGCCACAACATTTCACGTGACTATCGTCTTACAAAAAACTTCCCCAGGATCGCCACCAAATTACTAATAAAATTTTTTCGATCACGTGAAATTATCCAATAATAAATCACG